ATACCGTACACTAACTACAGCCTACTACAGGGGGGCCACTGTAAGTCTTCTTCTTCCCAGTTTGTGCAAGTTATCTCAATTGTTTGAGGGGTCCAACACGGTGGGGGGGGGGTATTGGATGGGGTGGTCGCTCGTACAAGTTTTGTGTGTGTATGTTGTGGTCTGCAGCTCCTCAATGGGCAGGGGCGCCACTCCCTGTCCGCCACCGAAAGCAGGGTGGCGGTGAGTACCCGTAAGTCTAAGTACTAAAAGTTCATAATGGAAGTATTGTTTTTGGTCTGTCTGTCTGTGACTCCCTGTGTCACAGTGTGTCTTTGCATTTCCACATATTTGGTCAGCATGAGTTATATACAAGAAGGCCTTTATGGATTGCTATGATATTTGGTATGTGGGTAGGTCTTGGGAAGACAAAGATCAAGCTCAAATTTGGACCTCGAGACTAGAAAATCTTTCAATAAGTCAAGAAAGAATCTACAGATTTTTATGATTTTGGGCAGGTAGGTAGTGTAGACAAAAAATGTACACAGTCAGATGTAAATTATGCAAATGAGGACTTAATTTGTATAATCAATGAGGAAATCCTAAAATTCAAGGGTGTGCATAATAAGACTTATCATGGAGGTATACAATCTCTGAATTCTTGTTGTACATGTAGCTCACAGACAATGGACAGAAGAAAATGTCCAGACTATGCATGATGTACAAAATGACTGATAAACTGGTGGACGTCCCAACTACTAAGTACCTAATACCACCCCAGAAGAGAACAAGAAATAGCCATGCCTTCATGTACCAGAGTTACCAACCAAGGTTATACCGGCTATACAGATACAAATAATAGTTATTAATAACCACTTGTTCTTATATCATATATGGCATTTGAATGTACCATGTCTTATTTTTTCTTGTTTTACATTGCAGGGTATCCTACTGATGTATGACATAACAGGGGAGCATTCTTTCATCAACCTGGCGAAATGGCTGAGAAATATTGAACAGGTCAGATTTGATAGGAGGTTTGACTACATATAGACTAATCATGTCATTCTAATGAGCTAGGCTTAGTTAATTAGCATTGTAATTCTCCTTGATGTCTTCTAAAAGAAGGGTGATGAAGTGTACAAATCTACATTGTGTATTAGTAGTAAGATGACATGAAATTGTAAAAAAGTACTAAATTCATGAAGAAAATTAAACTGTTCTCCAACTCAAAAATAAATTAACTCAGATGAACTTTAATGCTAGTATTGAGGTATTCAAGAATTCATTCTTTCCTAGAACTAAAAATCGCAGAGTCGGAACTCGCTGTCACCAAGTACAGTAGGGGCATTGTCATTAGATAGCTTTAAACAGTGCCTAGATTTAGATGTTCAAGGCTTAGGTGTAACAAGTCGATTGGTGTAATGTAGCCAGCTACCACCGCGCCGCATGCCTGCGAAGCTGGTGTGTTACGCCGAAAGGCAGTTATACCGGCTATACAGATACAGATACATAGTCCTAAATTCAGGTTGACACTACCTATAATTCCTTTCCCCAGAATGCGTCCACAGATGTACAGCTGTTACTTGTAGGCAACAAATGTGACATGGAGAACAGAGTTGTGGAGCTGGAAAGGGCACAGAAGGTAGGAAAAACTAACTGTAACTAACTTTCCAGTCACTGACGAAAGCTAGTGGGTACTAAGCTAAAACGTCTGACCGTTTCCAAATCATATCCAGTTGCTTTTAATTAGTAACTGCTTTTTGGCGTATTGTATTACCTGGGTGTCTAACCTTCATCGACGTAGGAAAAACTAGTTTTTGGCAGCACCTCAGGGGCGTAGCCTTTCTGGGCTTGCTTGAAAATATTCTAAAGATTCCACTATGCAAAAGTGCAGCCATTCCCTAGGGAATTCAGTTTTGACTAGCACTACACTTTATGCTTGAAATGCAGAGTTATAAGGTAAAGTCTTTGCAGGTTTTAAAGTCAGGCATAGTAAAAGGACTATTTGAGCACTATATCACAGCTGTTATGTTTTCCAATATTATTGTTGAACTTTATTGATCATGCAGTGTATGTCAACATGTGATAACTGCTTGTTAGACATGTTGCATTGTTAGAAATCTCTGTTGTTATGGGTTCACCACAAAGTGGTGAAACCATATTGCTTTTTCTCATGATTCTCCTCCTTCTCCTCCTGCCATTTCTTTAAATGGATTCAGCTTCTTCATTTGGGGGCCTAAGGACCTGAAATTTGGTATGGAGGTACAGTAGGCAAATACCCCCAGGCGTTTTTTTAATTTTTGTGATACAGGCTTTTAGAATGGTTTTATTTGAGTTTTTTGGCTGTGTTATAGCAAATGTATTACTGAGTTAGTGTGCAGTGTTACCAGATTTGGGCATGAGTCATCACAATGGAATGCAGGGCATCAACCAATAGGCATGCAGCTTTCCTCTATTCTCCTTGCTGATTGGCTGTTGGAATTTAACAGGCTTAACTTAATTAATACCTGCACAGAGCCATTCCATACTGACAGTATGTCTGTATTCAAGTGTTTTGGTAGGTATTTCAAGCTTTCCTGCTCCAGCATTGGAATGCGGGGCATGAACGCTTCTTTTTTTCTTGAAAATCAACAGTTTGCATTATGCAATTAAAAATCCTAACCAATAATGTAGGGAATAGCTCTCCAACTGTTGTAGTCTTAGTTGTATGTTACTTCATACTATAGTTATATCAATGTAAAGCATTGTTTTCCCTTGTGTTTCTCATTCTTTCCCTGCCATGTCGTAAAATGTGGTGAAGCCATTGCTGTATTTGCTCCAAAGCAAATGTCGGCCTTTCTAGTTTATTGTTCATTTTATTATCTTATAATTTTTTGTTTATATCCTTTTTGTTTTGACCAGCTTGCAGATAGCTTTGACTTGGAGCTGATAGAAGCCAGTGCCAAGGAAAACATCAATGTGGAGGAGGTAAAATATGAAAAGTTTTACTGTATAATAACAGCAATACAGTAAGAAATAGGATGGCATTCTGTGAACCAGGTTTTATCCCCCTGTATGTGCATTACACATCTTCAAAAATGTTAATGAGATTAGGTTTATTTGAATCAATTCAGTTGAACTTACAGCTAAACAATTATAGATTTAAATTGTTTCAAGTTAAATTTTAGATCCAACACAATTAAGTTCTTTCAACTAGAGCTTTAGACCAGTTACTCTGGTCTTCTTCAGTAGATTGACCCAGTGAGGCTTGTCACGTGGCTTCTTTGAAGTGTGACATCAACACTGGGTCAAAGGTATCTGGTAAATTGCTAATACTGTTTTTAGAAACTTGGTATTCCAGAATTTTAAGTGTTGGAGTTGTATTTTGTTCCAGGCTTTTCTGGCGCTGGCAAAGAAAATGAACGACTGCAGATCCAGGAAACTGTCACGGAAAGTCAGCGCTCGTGATGTCATCAAATGGGACAAGCTCGACCAATCAGACGAAGACTTGAAGAAGAGTAATTGTAGTTGCTGACTTAACACCTTAATTGCACATAATTTATAAAGTTTCCTACATTTTCACCTAAAACCCTTCTGGCATGATCTTCTCTTATTCAATGTACTGTAAAATGTAACCAATAGTGGTGTCACTTGATACTCTCCAAGCAGAGATTTGGGCTTATTTTTAGGCTTTTTCTTTTTTTGCGTTCCTTTTTACTTAAGAAAGGATACCAGACTGTGCAAAAAGAAAGCTTGAAAACATGCCAAAAATAAGCCGAAACTCAAACCTTTGATTGGAGAGTCGTCACTTGCACAATCAGCCAGTAACTTTACAAAGAATGTGTTTTGATGTGATTGTGAATTTTCTAGGCTTTAATCTGCTTGATATCTATCTCTATGAATCATAATTGGTAATTTATGATGTTGAAAAGTAAGCAATAGTTTGCTGTGCAGAGTGATATCTATATCATAATGTCAGATTGAGCATTAATATTGTATGCATTGCTGGTTTTACTGCAGTTATGTTTTTGTTGCATAATGATATTTGTGTAGACAGTTATAGTTTTACTTTATTTATTTATATCGAGTATCTTTTATTTCCTTTTTCTTCCATATATGACCAAACAACTCCTCAGTGCACATATATGTCTTATAAGAGTAAGATTTATAGTGAAAAATCGTTGGAATGTTACCCAGTATTAATTTTGTGACTGATTGTCGTGGATCAAACTATGCACCTGATCATGACTTGTATTGTTTGCAGAAAAAATCTGATATACATAAGATATAAGCTATTAGATGTGGCAGATTTTGATGTAAAAGTGTGTGACAGGTTTTCCAGTCGGCCAGTACAATATTTTTGTCATGAATTGTTTTATATAATAATAATTTTGTTTTCCATAAAATCTAGTCAACCATCATACAACAGACTGAATAGAAGTTTACTGTACTTAAAATTATTTGCTTTTGAATTGTCTGCTTGACCAAACAGTTTAGTTCTTTCAATAAGTCATTTACTGTTCCCAGTATTTTGTCAACTGTGAGCCTCTGATTCAAATGTAGCATCATATGAGCATGAATTTTGAAGTTTCATTTGGTTTTGTTTATGTTACTTTTCAATCTATGCAATATGTTTGAATTCATTCATACTATGAAGGAAGTGAACCATAATTGTATATTTGGTATCATTAACATTATTCTGATTATTTTACATTATTATATTATGAAGTCCCAAAGAGTCCTTCCACCAAAGAATAACAGCTTTCTCATGCTAAAACAAGGCATTTTCTGACTTGGTTTTACAAAAAATTGTGGATGCCGTTACAAACTGGATGGCATCCAGGCTAACATATATGTCTAGAGAGAGAAAAAAGGCTGTATGCCTAAGGAAATTGTTGTATTATATTTTTGTGTGTCTTGAATAAAGGTTGAGTGTGAACTTGTGGGTTGAAGCATGCTTAACTGATACAAGCCCTGACAAGACCATCCATGCACATGATGATGGCATGAGCAGGTGCTGTGCATTCATTTTATTGGAAGCCCTGGCCTCACTTATTGCTATACAAGCAAGGCATGCTCTGCAACTGTGAAGATCATACTGTGATGTCGTCTTTTCATATTCTCTACTCTCAGCAAACTGTTGAAACTGTAGGAAAGGCTTAACATCACGGAAGATCTGGACACTACAGGTGTTTCTATTATATAACCGGTAATTATATTGGAATATGTACGCCATCATTATTAGGATTTATGGTGTAAATGTTAAATTCAATTGCAATGTTAGCAATATAGGATGAAAACATGTTACTGGAAAATTGACTTCAATTATGGAGTGTTCAACCAATACTCCAGTCAGTGGCTAAGCCCTGGCAGCCATGGGCTCAGCACTGGACTTCTTTGTGAAGGGATAGAACTTGTGCTTCTTCACCCTGTAAACAAAAATGTTAATCAATATGATTTGAGTACCTGGTTCATACATAGGAAATATTGCCAAAATGCATATTGTGAATTGTTGCTTCTATGTGGCATTCAAACATCATCAAACTTTAGATTAATGCCCAATGATTAGTTTTACCTTATGGGAAAGGCCTATTTCCTTACTTCACTCAAAGGAAAATGGGCACCAAGCTTTGGTTAGGTATATTTTTATGGAAGAGATTCAAAGCCAGAGCCCCCGTGTTTTAGGAGAACCATACTTAATTAAAAGGGGTGTAAAGTGGATCAAATCTTACAGTCAGTGGTCTTACGCAGCTTGTACTTGCTTACAGTACAAAACTGGCACTTACAACACCTATAGAAATTCCATGGTAATGTAAAACAAACAAAATGAATCATGCTTACGACTCGTAGCGCAGGGCACGCCAGTTCTTGTTCAGCACATCCAACCTGGTCATGTCATCATCACTCAACTTGAAGTCAAAGATCTGGAAGATGTAAAATGTTCGGATATATGTACCCGAGACAGGTTAGCAAGGACATAAAGGCCTAGGGAAAAAATGCTGTGTTTCCTGTTTCAGTCTTCAAAAGAATAGGGTCAGTAGGTAGGTATTATCTTTTTTTCTTTCTTTTGTTTATTAGATTTTGGCAATCGATTTGCTTGAAATATATATGTTCCTAGCAGGGGTCCAAAAAAGGCTAGGGTTGGTTGGGAAACAGGAAACACAATATTTTTTTTCCCTAGGCTTAAGGTGCAGTGTGTTGAACATCAAAATATTTTTTTCTTGTACAATGCTTATAAAGATTTCTTACCTCAGTGTTTTCCTTGATTCTGTCTGGGTTGGAACTTTTGGGGACCACAGAGATCCTCTGCTGCACCAGGTAACGCAGGATGATCTGGACAGAATTACAAGAAAACACTTGAGTCCTGACAATGACAATTGATTACAGGTACAGGAGCAAGTTGACTTAGTAATTGCAACAGACACAATAACCTGTGTCCCTATAGATCCTTTAAAACGGGGTTGTGTGGCGCAACGTGTGGCGCAACGGCAGCGTGTGCGACTCGGGATCAAGAGGTCCCGGGTTCGAGTCCTGTCATGCCACAGATATTTAGTAAATGAGTATAATGTCTGTCCATTATTCGTTTCTATGTGCGGGAGACAACACCAGGAACAGCTGCCTCAGAGTTTTCTGCATCCATGTATAGCACTGTTGCAATTTCAATAAACCAAACCAAATCAAATCAAAACAATCCTGATGCACTATAACAATACCACTTACCTGAGCAGGAGTTTTCTCATAACTCTCTGCCAAAGCCTTGATCTCTCCATCATCCAAAAGTCGTGGGTCATCATCCTTTCGGCTGAAAGAAAACAAAAACACAAACAAACATAACAAGAACATAAATATTTGATTTGGAATTATTGATGAATTTGTAGGTTGCAAAATTGAATTGCTACTAATAGTATTAAATGAGGGATGTGAAAAATCTTTATTGTTCTGGGAAGACATGAAGTTTATAATGTTTTCAATTCAGCATGATAAAAAGGCTACACCCCAGAGTTACTGCCAAAACCTTTGATTTGTTTGAATGCCTCTTCTAAGATAAAATAAGAGTGTGCTGCTTACATGGGGCTGTCAGGTGCACCAAAAGAGCTGAAGGCAGTGATGGCAATCTTGTGGTCCTTACAGAACTTCACCATCTCCTCCTGGGACAGGTAAGGATGAAGCTCCATCTGGGAAGGAACATGTTTTTCTTAAAGTGATGAACTCAAGTAGTTGAGATATTGCATTGAGTTTGGATGTGTTGTACATTATGATAGGGAGGGTACAGTATTGCATATGGCAGGGGAAGGCCTTTTAGTACCAAGGCTGGGGAGGGTACGGTATAGTGCAGGGTGGGGGAAGGCTCTTCAGTACTAAGGCACGGGATAGTACGTTATAGTACAGGGTGGGGGAAGGCTCTTCAGTACTAAGGCTGGGGAGGGTACAGTGTAGCACAGGGTGGGTGAAGGCTCTTCAGTACTAAGGATGGGGAGGGTACAGGATAGTACAGGGTGGGGGAAGGATCTTCAGTACTAAGTATAGTACAGGGTGGGGGAATGTCTTTCAGCACTAAGGCTAGGGAGGCTACAGTATAGTACAGGGTGGGGGAAGGCTCTTTAGTACTAAGGCTGGGGAGGGTACAGTATAGTACAGGGTAGTGGAAGGCCTTTAGCGCTAAGGCTGGGGAGGGTACAGATGGTAACAGGACTGGGTTAGGATCCATGTAGCATCATTAGCACATTAGATAGTAGAACTATCGTAGACTGGAACTCGTTGCCACCAAGCACAGTTGGGGCATCATCACTAAAAAGCTTTAAACATTACTGCTGCATGCATGCAATTAAATGTACAAAGATTAAGTGTAACAAGTCGTTCAGTGTGATTTAGCTAGCTGCCGCCGCGCCGCGTATCTGCGAAGCTGGTGTGTTATGCCAAATGGCGGTTATACCGACTATACTCTCCTGGAAGAATAGCTGCCACCTTCGGGTGGGCAGCTAAAGGAGAGTTTTACCTCAATAAACCTCAATAAACCTATACTGATACAGACATCATTCTGACACTGACCTGCATGACCGCTGGCTGGACAGAAGACTTGTTGATGACCCGCTGGGTCTGCTCCATGTTAAAGTTAGACAGACCGATGCCTTTCACAACCCCGTCATCAACAAGACTCTCCATAGCCTGGGAGAAAACAAGTTTTCTTTTTCTATGAGTTAACAAGAAAATGTTAACATAAAAGTATAACATCATTAGTTTTTACAATATATGATTGAAAAGTTATACAATTATGTGTATCTATCAAAATTTGTGAGCTAAAGATACAAGTACAGGTACATTATATATAGTTACAGGTACAGCAGGTTAGGTATAGCTTTAGGTTAGATAGTTCAGGTATAGAGTCCAGGTATATAACTTAAGGTTCAGGTCAGGACCTGTACCTTAACTCTACTATAGCACAAGTACACAAATTACACACCTTCCAGGTGACAGTGTAGTCAATGTCATCGAAGAACAGGTTTCCATCCCTGTCCCTTGGGAACAGGGTTCCATCCCCGGGGTTCTGTTGGGATAAACAACAGCATATTTTTTAATCATTTCACATTTTGAATCATCCAAAAAATAAATTCCTGCACAACTGCAATTTTACCTGACTCACGGTATATATGCTGCATGTGGTATTTTGAACCTTGCTGGTGGAAAGTTTGACTGTACATTGAAAAATTATCTAATATCTGTTTACAATACATGGTTGTTTTGTTTGTTTGTTTCGCATAACCGGTAACCGCCTTTAGTCATAACACACACCAGTTTTGTACATGTACGTACATGTACAAGCAGTATAAGACCGGACTGTAAGGTTTGAACCACTCACACCGGGAGGTCCCCTACTCTTTTTGATAACTGCGATCCACTATAAGATTGATAGGGGATACAAACAAACAAACAAACAAACAAACAAACAAACAAACAAACCCTGAAGGCCCATGGAGTGTGGATCAGGTACATGTCCAGATAGTCCAACCCCAGGTTCTTCAGACTGTTCAGAACTGCCGGCCTTACATCCTCAGGGTGGTGGTGGGTCGCCCACAGCTGAAAAGAAAAAGAAATTAAAACTTACATTTAAGTCTAGAGTTATATTTCAAAGCAAAAGTTACATTTCAAAGCAGATGCATATGTTTACCTTCACATGATCTGTCCTAACAAACTACTGCTCTGTTTATCTTTTACTCGTATACATTGTATACAGTATAATATACTGTATAATGTATATGGTGAGCAGCAGCCCCCAACTCTGTCCTGCTACATAATGTAACCCAACACCACAGGATGTCTGCTTCAGCACCAGTTACCATGGTGACAGACGTCTGGTCCAGGTCATTGACCTCATGTGTTGGGAAGAAGAAGAAGAAACAGAGCAAAAACAATATGTTTTCCTTCTGCAAAATTTAACATAAAATGTTGATAAGTGACCTTATGGGTTGAGAGAAGAAGAAGAAACAGAGCAAAAACAGTATGTTTTCCTTCTGCAAAACTAAACATAAAAAGTTGATAGAAGTTCTCTAATACCTTCCCAGTGACGAACATGTCTGTTCGTTTGACAGTCTTGTCCAGTATCTTGTCTTTGATGGCCCTCCCCACCTCTTCCTCATTCTCATAGGCAAAGGCAGTGTCAATATGGCGGTACCCCGCACTGATGGCTGCCTTGGTGCACTCGTAGGCAGTTTTCTGTGGCATAGGAAAAGTTTGAATTATATGACAACTCAAGTGTAATTTTTATATAACCAGAAAAGTTAGAGTAAATAACTAGAAACATATTTCTCAAATGAAGAGGATAATGACCTGATATACATATTAAAGAAATATGACACAAAGTGTACCTTTATACATACAGAAATATGGCTGAGATTGAGGCATTTTGAAGCTGAAAAAAATAGAAAGAAAGGAAG